TTTAGTCACTCATATATCTAATACATTCTTATAGGTTAAAAGTACATTACAATTTGAAAAGGAATTTCTTAAATTCTATTTGATATCTAAATTATTAATTTTGTATATAACACTCTTAGGATAACATTTATTCATATGTTATCATGTAAAGATTAGTAATCATTTAAAAACATAAAGACCTATAATGGTACTGCTACTGCTTCTGGTGAGGGGAGCACCAGTGGGTAGCACCGGCAAGTGGGTTCTTATTGTGGTCCTTTTTCTCAATCCCTGACGGCTACCTTGAGGTTGCTGCCGCCTACTTACCAGAGTGGGAATGTGACGATCCATTTCCCGTGGCCGCCGAGAAATGAAAAGTAACCGACCCAGATGGAAATCGAACCCACAACGTTCAGAACCGGGCACTCTGAGACCCATGCCCCTGTGTGCTTGGCCATCCCATCCTCATTAAGATCTATAACCTCAAAATACAAAATATAAACAACTCAAGAATAAGAAAACGAATTGGATGTGTCATTTCAGTAGCATTTAGAACCACAAGGCTAACCAAATCCAGGTCACAAGCACTAGTTTGGATATCAAAACATTACGACAGATATGAGTATAATATTTTTTTTTTTTTTTTATATGCTGATAAGACATGTATCCTATCAGTTAATAATGACCCATCAATTGCATCCCAAATCCTTCAATCACACATCACAAACCTGGAAGAATGGTGTCAAAACTGGAGAATTAAAATAAATTACAATAAATCCCATCAAATTACCTTCACCCTTCTTTGTAAACCAATGACTTCCTGCCCTTCAGCATTCTTTAACAACATCTCACTTATTCCTGTTGAACAAATCTGATAACTAGGACTCCATCTGGACAAATGACTCACTTGGAATCCTCATACCAGAATGAAACGACAAGAAACCGCTTGAAGTTTCCGACTACTTCAACACTTACAAGAAAAACACTCTAACCTTCCAATTAATTACAAAAGACTTATATATATGACTATAATAAGGCCTATTTGGAGTTACGGAATCGAGCTTTGTGGCTTTACTAAACCATCGAATTCCTCTAGTATTCAATCCTTACAATCCAAAATCCTCAATGCTTCTTACTTTGTTACAAATAAAATCATCCACAATGACCTTAATGTTCCTCGTGTTTCAGATTCGGCCCAATTCAGATATCTATCCTTCCATAATAAACTTCATAACCATTCCAACCCTCTTGTTTCTAGCCTTGCTTCCTATTCAATTCCTGATAACCCTCCGAGGCGTCTGAAAAGAAGATAGCCTCGTGATCTCCTAATGTAGACATATTATTAGAGTGCTACCAGTGGATAGTTTCTCAACATGTGTTTCATGTCATTATATCCATGTACGAATTTACTCGATGTATTTTTTTTTATAAAGTTGTAAATATCATATTAATAAAAAAAAAAATTAATCAAGAATAAGTTAACACTTAAAAGATCAGAAATACAAACAAAAACTCTTTTTAACAAGGAAAATAGTTTATTTCATTTTTTTAATGTTTCAGCCTAATTAGCTATTTTCAAAAGTTTTAATTATTCCAATATCTAATGACAGTACATGTTGAAGATAATAATTAATTTCAAATCCTTTAACGGCTCTAGTTGTATTAATATTCGCACTTTGTTCCACATTTTCTTTGCCAGCCATTTACCTCGATAAACGGCATTTCTGAAGCAATGTATACACATCTCAATAGATAAGAAGAATAAAAAATTTCTGATAGGCAATCTTTTTTTACCGAAATGTCAATAAAAATATAATAAGACTTTTGGACGAAGAGTGGAATAAATTAAATGATATATCTACATAAAAAAAAATATCTTGAAAATATAAATTATGCATTGAATTTTTTTTTTAAAATGTTCATATTAACCAATACCAGCACATAACAGAATCCAGATCGTGCTGTTTTTGTCTCCAGTCACATTAAAAAATAGGTTAGATGTTTTAATTTCTAGCTTGAAAAAAGAAACTTATGGTGTCATTTGGAAGAGCAGTAATTCAGCTTTCCAGCGGTTTTATTAAAGTGGAATTTGAAGAAAATTCTGAGGAGTTATGAATGCTTTAGTTAAAAAAAACTAAAACTAAACTAAAATTAAGTAGTTCTAAATAATATGTGGTTAATATTCTGATTGATGTTCTCTAACAGGGCTTAAATAGCTAATTTTCAATATTAGCTTCCTCTAAAGTATCTTTAATTTTTTTTTTATTTGAAATAATTGACCATTTCACATTAATTTCTAATATGAAAAATGGTTAAATACAAAATATGAAAGAATTTGATAAATAACTAAAGAAGAAATAAGAGATCGTAACGCAGAATAGTTATAATTGAGGAACCAAAGGAATACGAGCGAACCCAAGCTCACCCAAAAGATTAGAACACGCTTCCATACTTATCATCAGATTAATATAATAAGGGTTCCGACAATATTATATAAATATACATATGTGGTTTTCATAAATATTATTCTTGGTATTATTTAATATTTAATTGTATAAATTACAGTGATATAAATATTAAAATTAGTATATATGAGAGTACTTATACAAATAAAAATAACCACAATGAAATACCAGTCTACAATTTTTACTTTCACTTTGCTTTGTCTAAAAACACTTATTTCTGCTAAGAGGGTGGTAAGTGACAGTTGTGAGATGTGCCCACCACACCAGATTTTTTATTTATATAACAATTCGTATAAAAAGCTTTAAAGGCTCCTAAAAAGGAATCTTATTTGCTTTTTTATAACAAAAATTTACTTGGCCTACTTTACTGGAAGCACCTTTTGGTTTTGGTAATTTATGAGAGAGAATCACTTTATTATCATAAAATGGTGCTGCCCAATTATATTGGATTGCTAAAAACACAGCATACTTATTAATCACTAAAGACAATTTTTAAAATAATACATAATTATATAGGATTAACAATATTTATGAGCATAGTATACAATTTTTTTTTAATATATATATGTATTATTATTTTTTTTTTTTTTGTATATCCTTTTTCTTTTTTTTTAATATTTATTTTCCCTTTCTCTCACTTCTCTCTCTTTTTTTTCCATTTTCCATTAAATAAATAAATAAATACATAAATTAAAACTCCCAGCCTAGCCATGCATGTGGTGGTGAATGATTCCCAGGGAGTCGAGGACTATATTTTCAGCCAACCTCACTACGTCCTTAATGTCGACACCTAGTTCCTCGAGGAAGCTCCTTGTTCTTTTTGGAATTGTTCCGCGAGACCCAAACCAGAGGCCTCTCACGGTAAACTCTCTCTCTCCGAAGGTCTCACAGAATTTCTCTTTTAGAAAAGGGATACATTTATCGTACATGTTCTTCTTTTCCCTTTCCACTTCACCCACCTGATCGAGGTCATTGCTCTCAAAGCGGACAGTTGGATCCAAGATCAGCGTTGTCCTTCCTGTCATGGGAAATGCGACGATATCTGCGTTTCAGACTCTCTGCCGCATTTACGGCAGAGGGACCCAACTTCTCTGACCTGTCAGCTGACACCTGGGATTCCACGCACGGTGCATAATTAATGTTTAGTTTTAGGGCATTCGACCATTCAGACCCAGAAAGTACTTGCTTTTCATACATGTATCTGTTCGCTTTCGGGGTCTCTTCGGGGGAACACCAATACCCTGCCACCTGCAGTTGGCCCATTCCTCAAATGCATTTTCTCGTAGCGACTGCCGTAGAGCTTTCACATTTCGATGACCCTGATCAACCCCCAATCTCTCGGCACGCTCAGCAACTTCTGCCGAATAATCGAAGGTAGATAGAAAAAGGGCATCTGGTACATTGGACAGTCGCTGAGCAATAGACCAATGTTGAAGAGGAGCCTCCCATTGGCAGCGGATTAATCCCAATCCTCGGTATCTCCTGGGGGCATACAACATCACCGTGGAAGTATTCGCAGGGAGTCCAATTATGGCCTTTATGCTCCAGCGAATCATAATGTTGATGCCCTCCAGTATGGCAGGACACAGCTTTGTGAGGGGCGCAGTTTGGAGAGGGTAAGTAAGACCCGGGGACAGATATTGATTGACAATGTTGAGTTTCTGCTCAGGTTTAAGTAAGCAAGAGGTTACCAGCTTGTTTAGATTATCATTCAATTTAGTCACCGAATCTTCGTTGAATTGTAGCTCTCCCAAGAATGTGCATTCTAAATACTTAATCGTATCTCCATTCTTCAAAGTTTGGATGTACTCTCCATTCTCAAGGGAGAGCTCCGTAGTTTCCAGCTCTCCTTTATTTAGAATGATGCCCATGCTTTTTTGAGGATTTATAGCCAGACTATTTATAACTCATTTAGTGCAATAGTTTATATTATTTTCTTATTCTGCAGAAAAAAACAAAAAGACAATTGATATACAGTAACCTAAAAATCCGGGCAAAAATAAATTTTGTTTGAAATCATATAACATTTTTTTTTCTCGGCTCCAAGGGCCAAGAGCGTTGGAAAGAACGCTGAGATACATGTCTAATATTTTTTTATGTAGTATCAACAAAAACAGTTATCGGTGACTGCGGCGCTCTGCTTGTTAGACTGGCTTAATAAGACTATCTTAAGAGCAAATTACAACTTCTAGAAGCTAAATGTTGTTAGAAGTCTGAAGAAATGGCAAGGATTATACCTTATGAAAGGCTTTTAACATTCTTACTTTGTTGCAGAAAACATAACAACTAAGCAAAGTACATTCATATATTGATCATCAAATTTGAGTAAAGAAGATAATTTTCTATTTTTTTGCATTTCAGTACCTAAAAACACCGTACTATTGAAAGGACCCCACTGCAAAAGGAATAATACACTATTTTATTGTTTGGCTTTAAATTTTGATAATGATATACTAATATTAAATTGACTTGTTTTATATTTTTGGTCTTCTATGATATGAAATTAATACAATAAAATAATATAATGTTGAAATTGGAGAAATAGAATGATTAAAATTAAACCAACAATATGAAATATATTTGAAAACATTCTCTATGAACACCACATTATTTACAAAACTCAATACAACTTTAATTATTATACAAAGTAAATAATAAAACTGTACATTTTTAATTAACAGGAACTTTTACAAAATATAATTACTTTACTTTCATATATACAATAATCCATTTGGCATCAGTTGACAATCAACAATTTATTACCTATTGTACATGATAATTATGCTGTATTGTTACGAAAAAGACATAAGAGCATGAAAACAATAATAATAATAATAATAATGGGAAAATGTGATCACATACATCATTATGTTATTAAACAGTACTAGTAAAACTAAAAAGAGGAACTATAATGTTTAAACTGCTAGTAGAAAACATAATTCGATAAAAAATACTTAAGGATCAGATCTAAAAAAGAACAGAAAAAGACTAGTTACTAGAAAAATAAACTACTAGATGCTCTTGAATTACCCTTTGCAGTAAACCATTACTCGTAGGTAAGACCATAATTATTGATGAGTACATTCATCATCAATATTTTACTTTTTGATCACAACTTTAATTAATCTGTTTCTTCAATAAAATAAATAAATAAAAATTTGATATGTAATAATACAAAATTTGTACCAAATAGAATGTAGCATTTTATGCCATACTGATAAAAATAGAATAGAAAACAGAGTTTTCTTACTTTCCTCCTAAAATAATACTTTATTGGATAGAATAAAAATTGAATGATACTTGCAAAATAATTTTATGTGATGTTAAACTTTTGAATTTAATTAATATAACTATCAGTTTACGAACTTTAAATACAGAATTTATAACTCATTGGAAAACTTATTCAAATACGTAATATATAAATACAAAACATAAGTGTTATAATACATTAAAAGATATTCAAAATACAAGACTTTGTTGAAAAGCTATATTTAGAGTCGTACATAATAACCTAAGACAAAACGACAAAAACAAACTGTAATACTAATTTCAACATTTAAGGACTGGTAACATGTACTTTTCATTAAAACACCTAGAATTAATAAGGGCTTACAAAAATTATAAGCACAATCATCAAAAACAAAAATTATCTAAATTAGAAATCCCAAATGCTTAGTACATAATACAAAATAGCAGCTAATTATTGAGCAATATGTTATTTCTTTTTATACATAGATTTTTAGTAATAAATTATGAAATAATTACATGGTAATAGCAATCATTAATAAAATATTTGGGACTACATAATACTATAAATTATTAACTCCAATACAGCATATCAGAATACGGAGAGCAGTTCAATTTAAAAAGAAGAGAGATTAAACAGATACAAAGAAATATAGTTCTGTTTTTATAAATAATTTTGTTTGTTTTTTTTGTTCAACTAACAGTTAAGAAAATGTTTTATAAAACTAAACTAAGCAATATTTCAATAGTAAATAATTATTTAATTTGTAAACTTATCAACCAACAAATGAACAAATGATTTTGTAAATATAAAGAAACTGCATTTAAACTAATTCTCACAACAAAATAATAATACTAGTAAAATTAAGCATTAAACAGTTGACTAGAATCTATTGGGAGAGCATTTTATTAGAAAATAAAACTTTACAATGCTGTCTGGTAGAAAAAAAAGCTTTGAAGAATTTATTGAAGCCAACAAAGTAGATATGTACTTTATTCATGTATAGTTATTGAGATTGAATGATTTTCTTGAAACTGTAAAACATTAAAGGATATATCAGACATCATAATATTCTACATACATAATAAATATAGCAGAATTTAATGACATGTCATAAATGGTTCAAAAATAAAGACTAGAAAGACCAAACAACAATATCAGAACAAATATTTTTGTTTTACTCTGCCTTAAGTGAGGCCTTCCCACTATTATTATAAGAAAGACAAAATGGGGTAATAAATAGATACCACTTACACTAACTTATTAACTATTAGTAGTTAAATGAATACCAAACAATAAAAAAAATTATAATTTAAAGAAAAAAGGCCGGTGACACTCTAATTCCACGTTTTAACGAGTATTATTTCAAAATAAATATTTTTCATGATTTAAATATCAATACTGGATAAAGGGAAGTGAAAAACATTATGTTATATATATCTGAAGCACGCGCACACTCACACATTCATTTCATACTTATAAATCTATCAAAGGATACAGTAGAATAAATAAAACAATAACAATCTATATGATAGGATCTGTAATTCATAACTATCTTTATAATTATGATTGATCAAACCCTGTTCTTCCGATTCTGCCAGACTGTACTTGAGTTCGAAAAATGAGAAATACTTTTGAGTAAACAAAAGACTTTTTTTAAAAAAGTAAAAAAAAATAATATTAAAGATGAGATTATTAGTTCTCCAATCATACTAGAATTCAGACAAAAAAAAATTATACCAACTTCAATTTTTGATATAAAAATTGTATCAAACTATATATTTACTATGTCAATGCTTATGCTATAATACATATATTACAATTTACAATTTTTATAAGTTCTAATATTTAAAATACTAATATATCTTCAAGGGCAGTTAAAGCTATCAGAATGTTTTAAAGCAAAAGTGTCAGCAGTTTTGTGAATAAGTGTATGTGAGTGAGTGAGTTTGTGTTTGTGTGTGTGTGTGTGTGTTTTTAGAGTTGGTAAAGATTTAATGGAGTGTATATGCGTGTGAACATTGAGTTAATCAACGTATAAGACTACGGACACCTCAAAATGTGTTTCTGTAATTGTAACACACACACCTTAAATTCACACATACAAAAAAATACAAACATACTAATCCTTATTCTTTGGCTTCCTTGAAAAGCCAAATGTTATGTAAACATAAAATCTTAATGAAGAAATTTACAATGTAAGTATGTATATAAATGTATGTGTGCATAAATTGTGTGGGATGTATGTATTATAAAACCATATAATCACAGTATGCTAATTTTTAATATACTGGGTATTGATTACCCTATTATAAATAATCATATCACTCAATGGCATATAAATAATTTATAAAAATTCATTGACATCAGCACTTAGTAGTGACTATTTGCTGAGGAACATAGCCATTTGGGTTTGTACTTCCATTACTAATTTTACTACTAGTACTAGATCGAGGTTCCTTAAAATCTTCATCCTCACTTAAAGAAAAATCTTCAATTTCACGTGAAACACGAAGAGGTGTGTCTTCTGATGTTATTTGAGAACGATAATCAATGCCTTCTTCACTATGGTAAAAAGAAACCTCATGGAAATCAATACCTACATCATTTTGCAATAATGTAACTAACTCAATAAAACTTGGACGAGATGACGGTTTATGCTCCCAACATAGTCGCATTATGCTGTACAACTTATCAGGACAATTTTCTGGGCGTTCCATAATGCCACCATCTATCACATATCTTAAAACTTGATCATTTGAAAGTCCCTGAAAAAAATAAAAAAATAAATAAGAAATTAATAAATGATACATAATTTATGAATTATAATGCTTTTAAAATGGAAATAAATCAGCACAGAACATAATTAGACAGAGGTTGCTTCTCTCCAATAATTTTTCCTTTACCTATTAATACGTTGTTATGAAATTCCTTGTGCATAAGTATAGTTTTACTTTAAATTGCATATTTTATTATTTAAAAATACATATATAACTCTTCAAAGTAAAGCCCATTCCATTGATTGCTTTTAACTACTTTCACCCATATTTCTGCCAGTAATAGAATTTGAAGTCAGTACAACTCCTTTGATTTTGATGCAAAGGACTGTTCATCTCCAATTTTTACATCCTCATAATTATCAAAGTTGTAATTAAATTTTAAAAAATTAACCATTGATCTAAACACACCATAATCTGATGGTGCAATATCTGGGCCATACACAGGATGAGGTGAAACGTTTGCTGCTTGCAGTTCCAATAATATTGCCTTGGTCAAATGAGAACGATGTACAGGAGCATTGTATTGCAAAATGGCATGGTTCCTGTTGACCAAAGCAGGGTACTTTGCACTAAAAACTGCATTAACTCTATAAAGCTATTCACAGTAAACACAAACTCAAAATGCAAAATGCCTCTAAAGTTACACCAAACATAAAGCACCACTTTTTTCTCAAACCAATCTTGGCAAACCTATGGTTGTGCAGCTTAACCTTGCCATACTCACAGCCTATGTTCACCAGGGTTTTTGTTTTAAATATCCACTTTTCGTTACTTGTGATAATTTTTTCTAGAACCTTTCATCTTTCGGAGTTGGAACCAAAAATCTTAAATTTCATGACATTAGAAGCCCCTACCAACTATGGCTAACAAACCACAAGTAGTTGCATATGGGCCCTCGTTTACATATTTAAGAAAAATGTTATCTTCAACAACTGATCGGCAACCTGATTTGGGTTCATCGGCAAGGTTCTTAATCCCATTGTTGAAACGCTTCAACCAAAATGCAACAGTATTTTGAAGGATAACTGATTCTCCTTCCAAGGCACAAATTTCTTTGGCAGATGCCTTTGTGCTTAAACTTTTTTCCAGTAATGTCTCAAAAGATTGTGAATCACAATTATTTCTTCTGACATTGCACCTGTATTTTAAAAATGTAAATGACCTCATAAAAACAACTCAAGCCACAAGACATTAATGAATTCACTACAACCGTGGAGTCATGCCTACGCCGTGTTAGTTTAGATCCACCCTGGGTATTTCATTTCTCCAGTACCACCCATATCTGGAAGGCATTACCATATGTGTCACCTGGGAAAGCACCTGATGGAGGACTAGCAACTCCACACGGGGTATTAAAGGATTAGTCAAAGTAAATATTGACATAAATTGTAGGAACAAAAACATTCTTATATGATTAATTATGAGAGTTGAAATTAAGGGTTGTGTTCATGCACAAAGTCATTTGTAACAACCTAACCTAGTGTAAATATATAAGTTATTTTCAAACAAGGGCCAATATTCACTACCAAGGTGACTCCTGGTCAACCAGTTATCATATCCATTATGGAATTCTCATGTGAAGAAGTGATATCAACAGAAATTAAAAGAGTCTTATAGTCCGTGTTGCAGACCCCTTTTTATCAAATTATTAACATCCACCTAAAACTTCGTGAATAGCTTAGCTTCATCTTATCGTAAGCTACAACTTTTTTATTTACAAAAATTCTCGGAATTAGGGCATTTTCAATCTGGAGATTGGCAACCTTTGTCTATTTAATTAGGTTAGGTACTAAAAATCCCTGAGCTCACGTTTGCTTTCCATTTGAATCGTAAAATTATTTGATCACAAAATCGAGAATAAAGATGGCATCCAAAGATAATGGGTCGTTTGGCATGATCTCTGCCCCCAATCATTTCAAAATAACGAGATTATAAAGGACAAATGGTCCAATATTTTTGTAGGTAACTTTTTTTTAGAGTTTGTGATCAAATTATCTCACGATTCAAGTGGAAAGCCTCATTTCTGAGAATTGTCGTAAATAAGTTTGTAGGTAGTTGTTAATAATTTGATGTAAATTGGTCAGTACCACAGACTGTTAACCCTTTGCACTTGGCTGTGAACAAAACAACATGAAAGTTTATTAATATATTTAGTAGTGATGCTATAAAACAAATAAACAAAAAAAATCTGATGAAAAATTACGGAGTTACGGAATTATGTCCAAAATGATCAAGTTTGGGACCACAGTGCATGAGTTGCTGGTAGGTAACATCCCCTTGCCAGGTGCAAAGGGTTAATTTCTGTTAATTTTTAAAAGAAGACAAAATGTATAAACACACTATTAAAAATATTAGAGAAATATTTTAAATGGACATTTTAGACTATGAATAAAAACTGTCCAATTAATATTTCATAGAAAAAAGTGGATAAAATATCAATTATTAACAAATTACCTGGTAAGGCTGAGATGCAAGTGTTGCCATTTCATATAATACTACACCATAGCTCCAAGCATCTGAATAAGAAGTAAAAATTCCATCTTTCAAACTTTCTGGTGCCATCCATCTAACAGGAAGTAGTCCCTTTGAACCTTAACAATAAAATATGATAATCAATTTATAAATATCAAATATAGAATAAATACAAAATTTACAAATTACAATGTTGGTACAGATGCTGGCCATTAAAACAATGTTTTGGAACATTTGATTTTTTAAAATTTGATTAATAATAATTCATTAATGATGCAATACCAATTGAAAATTTATTTGATCTTTGGAATAGAGAAAGCATTTATTAGCTTATTGCATTGAATGCTACAAGTACTTTTGCAACTGAATGCTTCTATTACAGATTGGTGACTGTATTTTGATAACCAGCTTTAAGCATTGGAAGTTTCTCAAATCTATCCAATACATAGACCAGATTGACTCCATTTTGACCTAAACCATAATAAAGCCACTAATTTTGATTTTTGGATCATTATAATTGTAATCTAAGCCAAAAATTGAAGAAAATGAAATCCCACTCAATTTTACTGGTTTTTATAATATTTCATATAATATTTAAGGTTTGAGGCATTTCAAATATTCATAATTTTACTATCTATTTTATTATTTATAATTGATGGTTGATGTTTCAGGGCAACAATGCCCATCTTCAGAACATTCTTCACTAAAATTCATGAATAGCAAAACCACTTTGACCATAATTTAGACTATTCTTATTTTAACTATTTATACTCTAATAATAATAATTAACCTTTCCATGACAATGAGCGGCCTTGAGGATGGCATTAGCTGACAGTTCTCAATGCCCCCAGGACGGAATACTTTTCATCACGTCTACTCACCATTCTAGCCGCTTAATTCAGACCATCATTTCAAACTTTTTTTATTCATTTTTTATACAATTCATAGAAAAGCCACAAGATAGTTTGAAAATAGAATCATTCACTCAGCACCCCGTGATTTGAAGAGAAAGATCCCGACAGGCTCTCGACTTATAAATCTAAAGAACTCCAGCATGGTTGTGTTTTATCATGGCCAGCCTATTTTCCTAATTTTAAGCAGTCTAAGGCAACTCTTAGCTCCTTCTCTCCCATATATTCATCGTTATCCTCATTACTTACTTTTTCCTCCTTAGAAATTCTATTTCCATTTACACTCTCTAACAAATCCTGACACAATAAGATAAATAATGTTCCAAGAAGACATATTATATCCACAATCAGTTCTTGCAAGTAATATGGCTTACCAGTCCATAATACTTTCACAAATCAAAAATCTTAGTTTTTTATGAACTGATAACCAAAATGAAAGAGTTGTTTTAACATCATTGACTTTGTTTTCTTTATTTTTGTACTAAAAGATACTTGGCAGAAGGATGATATTTGGTATGTTATTGGAAACAAAATTAATATATCACATTAAAAGAATAAATAAATACACATAAGCACCTTTTCGATAATACTCAGTTTCATAAATATCTCTGGTCATGCCAAAATCTCCTATTTTTACAGTTAGATCTTCAGCCACCATACAATTCCTGGCAGCTAAATCACGATGAACAAACTTTTTGGCAGCAAGATAAGCCATACCATCAGCAATCTCAGCAGCCATTCGCAATATCCTCTATGAATGAAAATTTTTAATTAGGTTCATATTTGAAATACCATGAACCTGACAAATACAAATCAAATATTTAAAAAAAAAAATTGCCTTCAAAGATGGAGGAACAACATTTGAATTTCCTGAATCAGGACGATGAGAACGAAGATAGGACTTAAGATCCCCTCGTTTCATCAACTCCATTATGACAAGAGTAGGTTGCCCCTGAGACACTACACCCAATAGTTTGACAACGTGGTGTGTATTAAAAGCCCTGAAAATAAGAATGCTCAATATGAAAACATGGCTTTAAAAAAAAAAAAAATTCAAATTTGTAAAAATAAAATACTTCATAACTGAGGCTTCATTCAAAAACTCAATCCTTTCTCTATCAGCAGCTTGCACATTGACAGTTTTTACAGCACAGGGTTGCTCAGAAGAACCTTCAGAGTTATATAATCTTCCTTCATAAACCATACCAAAAGAACCTTGACCTATTTCACCAAGTAGTTCAACACGACTTCTAGAAACTTCCCAATCATCTGGTTCATAAACTGAATGGAAAAAAGGAAGAGGAAATTAATCTTTGAATCCATAATATTTATAAAGCTAACTTAGTAGTTTTAAATATCCTTATTGGACCCATGGTGTGAACCATAAAAGAAAAAAGTTTACTTCCCCAATTATTAAGAATGAATATAAACTGTTCAATAATTTAAATTTTTATAAAAGACATATTATGAAAATGTTTATATTCCTTATTAATAAGACTAATAAAACACTATGTTAATAATAATTAGTATAGGATGTTACTCGCCTTTTTATAACAACTGTTATAATTGTAATTATAATTGTATACTGTTATAATATATTGATAAAAATGATTACATAACAAAATAATAATGTCTTTTATTTATAAACAGAAAAAATAATATACAAAAATGATTTATTTTTAGTGGTGTACTGTAAGTAACAGGTAATATTCAAAAAGGTATAAGTAGACCTCAACAGCTACAAAAAATTTATACAGACTATGGTCTCATTCCAAAGACAAAAGTTGGAAATTTAAGTTTTGTTTAAGTATCTTACTTATTTTTTGTTGAAGTAGCAAGTGTCATGGTCGCTAGGGCAATTTAACTTACACATCGCTCTGTCTTTGTTACGATCTAATGTGCTTATTATTTAAAATACTGCTCTAAGACTTTTTCAACAGTGACTATATTAATAGTTTTACATTTTTATATTCACATATGATCAGGTGAGTGACTATTTATTAACAATCAAACAGTTACAAATTAGTGCTCGTTTGGTTGGCCCATGTGGCTAGTAATAGTCTGTGGGCCAGACCCCCTTACCATGCACCCCCCCCACATCCCTATAAATTGCATATCGTTGTGTTCCTTGTGACAATTTATTAAAAAAGAGCCAATGTTCCCACAAAAAAAAGTGAACGAACTGCCCCAAAATGGCGTCCAAACATGGCGAATTGACGACCTTGACTTTAGTTAGTTTTTTTGTTACTGAGAATCAGCATTTGGCTTAATTTCATTATAATTGGTCTTTTATTAAAGCTGGATAGTCAGAGAATAATAAAACATGAAAAAATATTAAAAACTAATTGGTTTAGGCATTAAAAAAAATCGGTAAAGTCAATTTTTTTTACAAAAAAATTTTCAAGTTGAAAATCAAGCGTCGTTTGTAATTAAACGGTCAACAATAATGCAAAACGTGCTGAAATAAAACATCTGGAGAATACATTTCTCTTTCTAAAACACTGATTACTTTTTAAAATATTTGAAGTAGTTCCGTAGAAAATGTACATAAGCGGCACAAAAGCGCTACTGGCGTAGGTGCCTCAGGCCTCTACCACACCACTCAGTACTCATAAATGGCTTAGTTATAGTGCTATAATAACGTTTTTGTTATATTATATTGATTGTATTAACGAACAAATATTAATAAAATAATTTATTTGTCAAAAATTTTTTTTTTTAAATTTATTATTATTTTTTTTATCTATTATTATTTATTTTTTAAAATTTAACTTCCTTTATTCTATACGGAGGTGGCTTAAGAAGGCCTCTATTATAAAAATTATATAATTATAATAATACAACTTAATTCAAAAATACTTTGCAGAATATCTTGAATTTTTTATTTAATATTTGCAATTTAACATTTTGTTTTATATATTTCCTGATTCTTAGAGGTAATTTAAATTGTATATACTTCCCCGGAAATGAGTCGTATTAATATCTGTTTTATAAACTAAAATAATATATACCTAATCTGAACTACTTTTAATGAATAGGTGATGGATTGTTTAGTAAAATTCAGATATCGCTATAAAAAAAAAACTATTTTTATTTCCTTAATTTTATTCGGAAGTTGGACCATATCATAAAAAATATGAACTTTTAATATTAAATGCATTATTCCCTCTGCACAAAATGAGGATGGAAAGGGCGAAGCTATAAGCTCTTCTAGGTAACTGGAACTGATTGTTAGTATTTGGTCTCAAAATGAGGGAAAACGCGAAATTGAACCCAAACATTGGAAAAAATTCATTAAGCGAACGACTAAGGAAGTGCCAAAATTTGGGAAAGATGGGGAAGGATCAGTATCCGTTATATGGCTAAACGAATATATAGTAGACAAATGAACAGAATATTTCAGTATGCTGCTAAAAGGGGGTCAAAATGCTTGATCAGTTTGGATGATATTAAGCAGGTTTATTATGGTGAAGACCATTTCATCAGCAAGAAAGATTTGTTCTAAGCAATTGGCAAGTCAGCTGGTCTGGACGAAGTTACCCGAAATGCTGTGCGTACAAAGGCTAAAAATGTTATGAAAGGAAAATGATATGAAAGGACTGTAGTTCTCTGTCCCTTTACAGGAAATGAGATACTAGGAAATGTTATTCGAGATTCCTTATAGTACCAAAGAAAGTCTACTCAAGAATCGTAGAAGCTAAAATAAGAAATATTGTCGATTGTCTGAGCGATATGGATTGAGAAACTCAAGTTGCACATTGGAACATAAGTTGCAAATTGGGACTTCATGGTCTTCACTTTAAAGTAGGTTATAGAGAAGTCCACAGAGAAAGAAAAATGATTCTCTATCTGCTTAGTGCCTCACACTTTGGATTGATCTAATATCTACTAGTCTTTCACAAAAGCTCGTTTTCCTGTCAGATTCCTTCAAAAATCTTTTGCAATTGCACTAAACAGGAGGAGAGCTATTTTCCTTTCTCGGTAGACCTCTCTATAACCTGCTTCAAAGTGAAGATAGTCCCAATGTACAAATTCAATAGCAATCTAAAAGAACGTGGTTTACACCATTATAAACCTCGTTTACTTCCTCCAGACCTGCTTGCCAATTGCCTAGAACAAATCTTCCTTGCTGATGAAATGGTCTTCACCATAATAACCTACTTAATATCATCCAAACTGATCAAGCATTTTGACCCCCTTTTAGCAGCATACTGAAATATTCTGTTCATTTGTCTACTATATATTCGTTTAGCCATATAACGGATACTGATCCTTCCCCATCTTTCCCAAATTTTGGCACTTCCTTAGTCGTTCGCTTAATGAATTTTTTCCAATGTTTGGGTTCAATTTCGCGTTTTCCCTCATTTTGAGACCAAATACTAACAATCAGTTCCAGTTACCTAGAAGAGCTTATAGCTTCGCCCTTTCCATCCTCATTTTGTGCAGAGGGAATAATGCATTTAATATTAAAAGTTCATATTTTTTATGATATGGTCCAACTTCCGAATAAAATTAAGGAAATAAAAATAGTTTTTTTTTTTATAGCGATATCTGAATTTTACTAAACAATCCATCACCTATTCATTAAAAGTAGTTCAGATTAGGTATATATTATTTTAGTTTATAAAACAGATATTAATACGACTCATTTCCGGGGAAGTATATACAATTTAAATTACCTCTAAGAATCAGGAAATATATAAAACAAAATGTTAAATTGCAAATATTAAATAAAAAATTCAAGATATTCTGCAAAGTATTTTTGAATTAAGTTGTATTATTATAATTATATAATTTTTATAATAGAGGCCTTCTTAAGCCACCTCCGTATAGAATAAAGGAAGTTAAATTTTAAAAAATAAATAATAATAGATAAAAAAAATAATAATAAATTTAAAAAAAAAATTTTTGACAAATAAATTATTTTATTAATATTTGTTCGTTAATACAATCAATATAATATAACAAAAACGTTATTATAGCACTATAACTAAGCCATTTATGAGTACTGAGTGGTGTGGTAGAGGCCTGAGGCACCTACGCCAGTAGCGCTTTTGTGCCGCTTATGTACATTTTCTACGGAACTACTTCAAATATTTTAAAAAGTAATCAGTGTTTTAGAAAGAGAAATGTATTCTCCAGATGTTTTATTTCAGCACGTTTTGCATTATTGTTGACCGTTTAATTACAAACGACGCTTGATTTTCAACTTGAAAATTTTTTTGTAAAAAAAATTGACTTTACCGATTTTTTTTAATGCCTAAACCAATTAGTTTTTAATATTTTTTCATGTTTTATTATTCTCTGACTATCCAGCTTTAATAAAAGACCAATTATAATGAAATTAAGCCAAATGCTGATTCTCAGTAACAAAAAAACTAACTAAAGTCAAGGTCGTCAATCCGCCATGTTTGGACGCCATTTTGGGGCAGTTCGTTCACTTTTTTTTGTGGGAACATTGGCTCTTTTTTAATAAATTGTCACAAGGAACACAACGATATGCAATTTATAGGGATGTGGGGGGGGTGCACGGTAAGGGGGTCTGGCCCACCGTGTATAATTCCCTTGCGGATTTTACCTTATCTGCGATAAGTTCAAGCCAAGGCTCGGCACTGTGTACAATAACATACTTCATTGTTATTCTCAGTTCGAATCCAAGACATTTAACTTCATTTTTTTTTCTTTATATTTTCTTTTTTTTTTTTTTTTTTATATTTTCTTTTCTTTTTTTTTTTTCTTTCCAGAGACTCTTTTATTTCATTTTTTTTCTTTTAATTTTAATATTTAGGTTTATATATATATACATTTTTTTTAAATTTTCCTTAACACTTATCATGATGGATCTGGATAAGAACACATCATGTGAAGACACGGAAGATGAGACACCCTTTTCGGAAATCAGCAAGACCGACTCGCAATATTTGAAAAGGCGTACACTCCAAAAGCGTCTCCGAAACTCAGTTCCCGGATCGGGACAAAACTCACCTAATAAAAAAAAAAAAAAAAATCAAATAAGCAACCAGAACAAGATAAATCTCCACCGAGAACTAGGAGCAAATCTAATGCCACTCAATCAGAGCCAACTGCACCAAAAACATCAGAAAGCAAAAACTCAATTCAAGAAAACAACTTATCTCACAAGACTCCGCAGCTTCAAGATTTTTCTGATCCTGAGCCGCCACCAATATTTGTTTCAAAAATTAAGAACTTTATGTCGTTTGGTCAACAAATTGCAGATATGATGGGACAGCCAAATTTTCGATGTTACTCGAGAGTGAACATCAAAATCAATACTAATTATAAAAAACTGATCAATTTTTTAACAACCAATAACTACGACTTCCACTGTTACCAATTAAAACAAGAAAAGGCGTATCGAGTGGTCCTGAGAGGACTACATTCAACCACACCCATATCTGCTATCAAATCGGGCCTCGAAGAATTCGGTCATAATGTCAGGCACTTAGCACCTGTACTACATCCTAGAGAAAGATATCCGCTACCATTATTTTTTATAGACTTGGAATCAGCAAAAACCAATGTTGAAATATTCCAGGTTCAACGATTGGTTTACTCAATAGTCCGTTTTGAGGAACCGAAACAGAAGCCTCTAATTGTACAATGCACTAAGTGTCAAAACTTGGGCCATACAAAGGCCTATTGTTATCACCAAGTCAGATGCGTTAAATGAACACGCTTCAGACACTTGCCAGAAGCCAAGAAATGAGCCTGCGACGTGTGCTGTTTGTGGCGAAGCCCATCCTGCGAGCTACAGAGGATGTGAAGTGTATAAAAATCTTTACAAACAAAGATCACGAAACTCAGCGGTGAAAAATCTTGGATCTGCTCAGAAAACATACACTGAGGCACCTGAAATTGAAAATCAGGAAATGTTCCCAGCATTGCCGACTTCACCTTCCCTCGTCATCCAACAACAACCATCCATCTCTACAGCTAAGGACTCACCTCACCGGAATCTCAGAAATTCTCACTCCCAGTCTTCCATCAGTAAGAAGCAAACTCAACGTCAGGCGCCTCAGGCCTCCCAATCCAAGCCCAAAATCCCTAATCCTCAGCCTCAACCTCTTCACCAGCAAATCCCTCCTCATCATTTACCCTTAAGAGTCAAACTCCCGCCAGAGCATCCACATCCAGCTCCATTCGTTCCTAATCCCAGGATGAACCCCCCTCCACAAGTCCAACAGAATTTAGATCCTCCTCCTCGTACCCCATGACGGGCCCATCCCCCACCCAACATTCCTAGTCGCGTAACCTACCCATCACAACCTCCTGATCCAAACCCACTAACCAGCAGCCAAACACCATGCGACATCAACACTATCCTATCGTCATTCCTGATAGATCTTTAACAGCAGTACGTCCCGATATCCTGGACATATTTATCACCTCCCAGATTTCCTCCTCCCAAACTATAATCAAATCCCTGGATGACCTTTCTTCAGACCACAGTCCAGTTCTGCATTCACTACATTCTGACTTTGCTCCTAAACCATCACTTCCTAAACTGATCACTGGACGAGTAAACTGGGACAAATTTCGTGATGATTTGGAAAACAAACTAGACCTCAAAATCCCACTAAAGACAAAAGAAGACATTAATGGTGCCATAGAAAAACTGACATCATCAATAACAGATAGTATAAATAATAACACCTTTATCAATAAGATTAACTTTCCACAAATTACTAACTTGCCACAGCATATTCGTATCTTATTACAGGAAAAACGCAGAGCAAGATCGAAGTGGCATAGGACTAGATACCCAACAGATAAATCGCATTACACCCAACTGACTAACAAACTGAAATCAGAAATTAGAAAATACAAAATTCAAAATTTACTAAATTTTACTGAAAAACTTACAACCACTGACAAATCATTATGGATGACCACCAAAAAACTTCTTAAGTTTCAAGACTTTAATCACCAACTACTTACTGATTCCCAAACCTGGTCCAAATCCGACGAAGAAAAAGCCCAACTATTTGGTCAACATCTCTTCCAAACTTTTAACCCACATCCCGATATCCTTAATTCAACTCACATCAATTGTATTGAAGCAGAACTGGATATTCCTCTCCAAATGTCTCTGCCACCCAAAGCATTTCATCCCATAGAAATATCCAACATCATTCAAAAATTACCCTCCCGTAAAGCTCCTGGACATGACCTAATTACATCCCAGATCCTAAAACTTCTTCCTCGAAAAGCCATCCTATTCCTTACTTACATATATAATGCTGTACTCCGTTCCACATATTTTCCTGATAATTGGAAACGATCTATTGTTAAAATGATCCACAAACCCAAAAAACCACCAGAATACCCATCCTCTTACCGTCCTATCTCTCTTTTACCCATCATGGGCAAAATCCTAGAAAAACTCATCTTAAAACGCCTGTACCCTACCCTAAATTCTAAACACATAATCCCAGATCACCAATTTGGTTTCCGAACTTTCCATTCCACTATACAGCAATGTCATCGTGTGGTAGACGTAGTCTCCTCTGCATTGGAGCGTGGAATGTACTGTACGGGAGTCTTTCTCGACGTTGAACAGGCGTTTGATAGAGTTTGGCACCCGGGACTGCTGTACAAACTCCAAAAATTCCTACCACCTACATACTTCCTCATTATCCGTTCCTACCTTACTGATAGATACTTTAAAGTAAATCACAATAACGCCTATTCATCCCTTTTTTCTCAGTCCGCTGGTGTTTCTCAAGGTAGTATCCTAGGTCCTATCCTCTATACAGTTTATACAGCTGACATCCCTACCTGTCCCAACACTGTCATCACCACATATGCCAATGACACATGTATCCTATCAGTAAACAATGACCCAGCAATTGCATCCCAAATGCTTCAATCACACATCATAAATCTAGAAGAATGGTGTCAAAACTGGAGAATTGAAATAAACTCCAATAAATCCCACCAAATTACGTTTACCCTTCGTCGTAAACCAACGACTTCCTGTCCTACAGTTTCCTTTAACAATACTCCACTTATCCCTGTTGAGTAAATCCGATACCTAGGACTCCACCTGGACAAACGACTAACTTGGAATCCTCATACTAGACTGAAACGACAAGAAACCGCTCGACGTTTCCAATTACTTCAGCACTTACTAGACAAACGCTCTAAACTTCCCATTAATTACAAAAGACTCATATACTTGACTATAATAAGACCTATTTGGACTTACGGAGTTGAACTATGGGGCTCCACTAAACCATCGAATTCCTCTCGCATCCAATCTTTACAATCCAAAATCCTTCGTAAAATCCTCAATGCTCCTTACTTTGTCACAAATAAAATTATCCATAAAGATCTTAATGTTCCTTATGTTTCAGATCTGGACCAATCCAGATACCTATCCTTCCATAATAAACTTCAGAATCATCCCAACCCTCTCGTTTCTAACCTTGCTTCCTCTTCAATTTCTGATAACCTCCGAGGCGTCTGAAAAGAAGATGGCCCCGTGATCTCCTAATGTAGTCATATCATTAGAGTGCTACCATTGGGTAGTTACTCAGCAAGTGTATTCATGTCATTATATCAATTATGTCCAAATTTACTTGATGTATTTATGTAATACAGTTGTAAAAGTCATAAAGAAATAAAAAAAATAAATAAAATTTTTTTTGTTTAGTAGGAAGTAATAAATAAATAAAATATTTAATTCAGTTAACTATCAATTACTTCACAGACTAGATAAAACTTCATTTTAATGTAGTTAGAATTCACCTTTGTTGATATTTTAAAGGGGCATTTAAGATGCTAAATTATACTAAGTTCAGGATGGATTACTTCTAATTTGATTTTATTCATTTTTTTATTAGTCTACTACTGAAATACATACAGCCCAATGTTAGAAAAACTCCCTTGTTTAATAAACTTCAAATCAATATTTATTAGGTTGCGGTTTGTCACAGAATAAGCTGAGGTTTGCTACCAGGTTTCCTCATAGTAACTGTGTTTTAAATAAAAATAATTACAACAATTAGTTTCATTTTTTGTTTATGTGAGATTCTTTATATTAAATTAATTACTAGAATACACTTTTCATTTATAAGATATATGTTAGCATAATATGTAAATGTGTAACAATAACGTTTTTTTTAATACAAATTGTTACCTAATGTGATAGTAGACTAATGTTTCTTAGACAGATCTCAATAAAAATCTATTTCTATTTCTATTTCTAAATAATGGGTATTGATCCTTATGCTGTTAGGTGAACAATCAAATAACCCTTCCTCCTAATTCTAATATTTATAGTTATGGATATTAATCCTTAAGTTGTTAGGTGAACAACTAAGTGTTGCTACATCTTAATCTTAATTCTAATATTATGTTTACCATGGATTATATGTTACCATGGAAAATAGTTCAAGTTACAATGGTCTCATTTTATCATTTAATTATAATAATAATACATAGTAATAATAATAAACATTGATAAGGTATCTGGATTACTATTTAATATATTTTCATTTTTGTCTGATAAAATACAACCTATTAAGCCATCTGTTCATGTATATTGACAAAGCGCTCCCTGAATCAGTCATTAATATGCTGCCCTGTGATACATTATTTTTTTATGTCTGAGGCAAGATGTATTATAAGGAATGCAAAATCACAGCTACACTAACTAGAATTAGTAGGTATAACTACAAAACTTATTTTTGTAACAAGAATTAATTGTGTATTTGCAGGGCGACAGCATTTCATATAAAAATTTCTCCAATTATGAAAGAGGCTAATATTATCAAATAAAGCAGTATTGATAATTAAATTTTAGCAGTTTTGGTATGTTGTTGACAATATGCAATAGGTTCACTAAAAAATCTATACTTTTGAATTCCAAGTTCAATTATTTCAAAATGTTAACTATTTAACAATTAATTCTTAAAATTTAATCCAATATTCAGTTTTCAGGTCCATTTAAGTAGACATTTTGTAAAAGTGGAGAATCATTATTTTTTTAAAATTAATAATAAAAGAGCAAAAATGAAATTAAAGGAAAGAAAAAAAATAATGGTGATTCTATATAGAAATACTTGGTATAAAAAAAATAACAGTTCAAAATGTCTATACCTGTAGGAACATACTCAGGATTAACAGATGCAATAAGTTTTCTATTAGGCAATTGACTATATTGTCTTCTCAGAAAAAAAGCAGCAACTATTAAAAATAATAAAGCCAGCACGAAGATAATAATCAGGATATATAATAAATGTGAGGCGATGGTATATTCTTCCTGAAAATAATTAATAATAAATTTAAAAAAAGGTTGGAACAGTAGATTATTAACTTAAAAATGCTTATTAATAACCCCAACAATCTTAAAGAACTAAACCTAACACAACAATGCTACAATTAACATTAAATGTTTTTTTATATATTTTGTAAATAAAATAAAATAATAGTTATCATTATATTGTTTTTGTTTTTGCACATTTTCTTCACCCCATTTCAATTATGAGACAATTAATTAAATTAAACCTTTATTCTTAGGTGCCTGCAGAAGGTGCCATGAGTGACAGCCAGTAAAGTGGTTGGGCACTAAGCCTTCACCCAAGAACAGTATTGGCTTCCACTTTCAATGTTCCAGTGGATGCCAGTAGCCAGTTTTGAGTGGCAGTCTTGGGTATTTATTGTTTAAGGGTCTCCTCCACATCCTTGGGCAATATGTGGAAGAGATTGATTAAGGATACAATGAAGCTTTTAACGAGGCTATGATAAAATATTCTAGGCTATGATAGTATATTCTTTAACTGAAAAATAAATTAATGAACCTATTAATTATTTATTACCACAGTAGTCTATAATCCCATATATATTATTTATAAATATATTGCCAATAACATCAGTCAAATATTAAAATTTAAATAGTAAAACCTATCTGAACTTCAAAATAAACTGGTTTTGAAATTTAACTGGTATAAATAAAAATATAATTATGAATAACCTACATTAAATCAGCCATAGAAAATAATGGAGTGCGAAAAACACACAAATTTAATACATTATAGGGGAAGGAAAAACATGGTCCAGTCAATGAATGCTCGAAAAGGGGGTATATAAAAGGAAATGGTGGGAATATAATTTTTGACTTAGAGACATTGTTTGGGCTAGTAAGGACGTAAACATACTAAAAGTCCCCACTCCTAGGTAGAGAGCCAGATGTGAGGAGAGGGCATCTAAAAAGTCACTTTTTTTTAGCTTTCGCTTATATCAGGAAAACTATACATAGCACTAAACTAAGTGAGGTAGCGTAAAAAGGTATATAATCAATCATATTGCAAATTTAATCAGTTTTAATTTAGTAAAGAACGTCTTTATAGATGTGATGGATTGTTTTCCTGATACAAGCCAAAAAATGACCAATTAGGCCCCCCCTCCCATCTGGCTCACCACCTAGGAGTGGGGACTTTTAGTATGTTAACCTCCTTACTAGTCCAAAAAATGTCCTAAAGTCAAAAAATTCCTTCTGTAATCATCCATTGACTGGACTAATATGGTAATTAATTGTTTTAAATTAATATGTTAAACAATCTATATTTATTTTTACTTACTTATATATGAACTTCTACTCAAAGTAGATAGGTAAGTAAAAGTTGAGTAATTCGTGCACTATACCAGATTTTGGATAAATTTGTTCATTTATTTTCAATAATTGTTTATTAAATAATAAATAAATTACCTCAATCACAAAATATTTGTAAGGAGTATAATAGCCGTTTCCAGACAAAGATGTTGCCCGTAAACGCAAACTATAATTTCCTGGTCCAAGATTCCGCAGATAGTATACATTTCCAGACTCCACAAAATGTTTTCTAGTAATGCATTCGACTGTCGGTTTATACTGTAACAAAGAATTCAAACATATGAAATGACTAAATAAATAAAATAGCTTTTTAAAATAAAATTGTCTCTATTTAACAAAGAATTACGAAATAGCTTTGTATAATTATAGAAAAGGAACAATGATAAAGGATAATAATAACAATTTAATAGTTAATAGATTTTGTTAGAGCTTCTGAAAAAACAGAATAGCTCGAGTACATGACATTTTAAAGTTTTTATCTTAATATTTAATAAGGAATCATTTCATAAAATATACAAAATAACTCTATAAAATAAATAAAAGACAATAAAATATATCTCAATACTCCTAGGTAAAATTTTACAAGCAATTTTTATGACCACACCAGAAGATTAAATAAAAAATATCCATAAAATAACACTTAATTTTATACTTTGTAAAAATATAATTTCTACTTCATTGTTGGGGAAGAATAATACTACTTTTACAGTTGATTATTTAATATGTGTCACCAATGTAACTCTAATTGAGCAATAGTAATATTTTTGTCACTACCATTTTACGGCAAAGTAACCGTTAACAGACAAATAAATGGCATTTTTCAGGGCCATGACCGTGCCTCTTCACAGCAGACATCTTGTGTTAACGCTTTATTATGAAATTCAGGTGTAATTGTTAAGTTTAGCACGCTCACGATCTTAACTAATGACCATTCAAATGACATTTTCATCATCACTGAGACCAGATATGCATCATAAAATATCCAGGTTTATCAACTGATTGGCTCCATCACCCAGATTTATCAACTGATTGGGAACATGATAGATGCACAAGCAGGCCAACAAATAGTGAATGTGGTAAGCTAATATTGTACCTTTAAGTGAAAATTATAATTGTAACTGTGTATACAACACCTCCACTAAGGATTGTATCTTAAATAATAACTTGGATGGTAATTTATTGAAAGTAACTATCAATATATTGTTTACTGTTAGTTTTTGTTAATCAACACTTTCTGAAATGCACTATGTTATATATATATATAACAAAAAACTGTTATATATATATATATATATATATATATATATATATATATATATATATATATGTGTGTGTGTGGAGCTGGGTAGCCGTCCGGGCTAAGGCGCTTGCAATAGGTAACCAAATTAAGCAATGCAGAGCGTGGTTAGCACTTGGATGGGTGACTGCCGGATTTGGGTGAACGTCCACCAGGGAAAGCCACGCTGCCTGAGACCCACCCCCGGGTTTGTGAGGTCCATCAGCCTACTGGAGGCACTCACACCGACCAGTCGTAGGACTGATGACCCAAACCCCGTGTACTTAAATCAGGAATCAGGATCATCTCGCGGTCAAAGATCTACAAGGTCTGTAGCGCCAACAGAAAAAAAAAAAAAAAAATTATATGTATAAAACACAAAATTTAAATGGCATCATCAATCTAGTTTTAATAAAATAAATTAGAATGTTAATATAACTTTATATTTGGTACTATATAACTATATAGTAGTATAGCAGTACTGCGGTATACAGCGGTTATACTCTCAAGTGATTGTACTCATACAAAAAACACAGGAACTAATGCTAAACTATATGTAATATACCCATTTCCTTAAATGAATCAAACCCACTAATCAAAAAAAAAAAAAAAAAAAAAAAGATTGTACTTCTTATTAAGAAATCTTCGTCGACAAGTGTAAAATAACTCGTATAAGTTTCATCACAATTAGCTGAGTAGTACAGGAACACAAATGTGATACAGAAATAAAGAAATGTTCACTTTTATAAATATAGATGATCAGTGAGTATTATTAATAAAAATAATCAATCATGTGATAAAAAATTACAATGAATAGATCAAAGTTTTTAAGATAAGATACTTACATTCTCAATATCAGATCGTTTGTATTCAATTTCATAAGCAACAATGAGACTATTAGGATTTTTAGGTTCATTCCATTTTAATTGCACAACTCCTAAACTTTTATTTGAAATTTCCCAGATCGGATACTGACTATCAATGCTGTCAGCAGTGGCTAATTAAGAAAAAAAAAAATGAATAATATATTATTATTACATGTACATGTATACACTCAGTCACTGAATATGATCAATAACCAAAATGTCTATTTATAACTTTACATAAAAACCTTAATGTCATAGCACATTTTGGGTAAATACATTTGGTCAACCACTGATTTAAAAACTCTCTTCAGTCTTTATGTAAATACACAATAACCACAATGCAATGAGAGAAAAACAGCTTTGTCACAATGTGGTAATGGTGTTCGGTATTACCATTAAGACCAAAAATACTTAAAGGTTCTTTCTTTCTCTTCATGTCCGAAATTCCAGGCATAGAAGCTAGTTCGATATTGAAAGAAGAGACAAACTTCTTTTTGGTATTCATTGATATCCAGAAGTAGAGCTCTCTTTAAATCTCTTAACTTACCAGACAAACTGAACTAATGTTAAACAAAATTAATTTATTATTATTTATATAATTTAATTTTTTACTAGTTAAAATAATCAACTGAATAATAGAATCATTCGATTGAAACATACTAATTTTAAGTAAAATATGTCTAAACAGAAAACTATCTTTAAATTGCTTTACCTGCAAGCAAGATGTCAGTGTTTGAAGAAATTGTGTTTATCCACAACAAACTGAAGGAAGTTAAATTTTTCCATATGGGTAAAATTTTGGTTTTTGATCTAATTTGTTGATTCAGTGCACCATACATACTTCCTTCCACACAGGGAGGAAAATAAAACTATACCTACCTAACCGTAATGTTCTAGCAGTCACAATAGCTTCTTCACTACAAGTGTTATTCTTTGTACTATTCTCTCCTTCTTCCAATTTACGACATGCTCGCACTGCGATATTATACAATGCAAAATGTCGCAAATTTTTCATAAGTAACATACTAGTATTTCCATCAACACTTCTAGTGAACTGTGTTCCTAAAAAGTTACATAAATATTTCACAAAATGTTCTTGCTTTAAAAAAAAATAATTAAATGATCAAATTTGTTTTCACTTATGTACACTGGTAATAATCCAAAAATTATTTCACTGATTGGAACAATATCTCAATGCTTAAAAAATAAATTAATCACTTTCTATCAATAATCACAAGACTCAAAAGATTATTAACTGTTTTGGTATTAACACAAAATATGAAAATGCATTTAAATATTTTACAAGTCATCTTTCAAATAATTAGTATTCAAAAATCTTTATCACTAACTATGATATCAAGTATTTGTTCCATTGCAAAACAACTACGAAAGTAAGAGAAAGGTTGCTTCATTTATGATAACAAAAACAGAAGTACCATTGATAAAGGAATGTGATTCTGTTTCCTCCTTTTGATTAGGTAAAACAGACTTCCTCTTTTCTATGATTTGGCTTGATATGTCCCGTTTTTCTCTATTGTTGTTATACCTAGCACACACATAAAAAAAAAAACTATAAATTAAATGAAACAATTAAATATTAAATAAGCTAAATGGGGTATATATATGTTTTTAATGTTTCTACTTTTATTAAACATCATGTAGTACAAAATATTTAGATGAAAACTAGAATATTTTATTATCACCGGTTCAAAATATATTAATTTTCTAAGTTGTTGTGTCAGCTTAACTGATAAGAGCGTCGTGGATTACAGTTGAGACAGGGTATAACATCACTCACTCCCTTCAGAGATTGGTTAATGTTAATTATAGTATCCTTTACCAGAGTCTTAAACCATAAATAATCTCATATTTAAATAATATTGAATAGAATTGAGCATTAATTTAAACTATACTAAAAATAAAGATATATCTCATATTGAAAAAATTATACGAATTTTAAAAATTATTCTTTTCTAATAGTTAACATTTAAGTTAAGATATACTACAAAACAGTACATTTTAATAAGTGACATTATTTTTTTAATTCTTAAAAATGAGGAAGAACTATAATAAAAATTTATTTCGGCAAAAGTTAAATTCATTAATTACAATGGGTAAACTGAAAATTTCAAAACCATTATTTAGCAATGCCACTACTTACTACAACACCTACAATAAAAAGACATTATCTGGCTCATTGGTTGAGAACCCTGCCTTAAATCATTCTATTTCTATCCTATAATATTTTCAATAGATTCTTATAAATGTTATAATGACTTATTGTGCCTGATGTTTAATGATAAGTGAATAACAGACACCTGTATTATGAGTACATGGCAGTCACCTTTAGCTTCCCTTATTTCTCGAACAGTATAGGAATCATAATTTTTCAGAAATCCTCAACTCCTTATATGACTAACAATTGGTCAGTAAAAAATTATTCGTGACTTTAAATAAGAATCTATAGGAAAGAAAAACATAACCAATAAGGATGCTTGCAGAAAGATAACACTTGGTCAGAGATGACGGAAGGATGTGACGTCGTGAAAGCTAAATTGTGAGTTTTGCTTACTTAAAAAGAAAAAAAAATATTTAAAAAAAACATCCTGTGAACAGATTTACATCAAAGTTTGGATATTGCAGTTTTAGAATCAAATCTATTGTCTAAAAATTGTTTCACTAAAATTTGTGGCTTATACATATACCTCATTAATTTATTAATTAAAAATCTATAAAAACAAGTGATGAATCTTGTATCCTAAATAGATCTCACACTGAAATCACAAATAAACCACAATCATACACTTAAAAATATGGAATATTATACCTCTTGATGTAAATTTGGTTTTGCAAATGATCTTCTAGCTGAATTTCTTTTTCACGCTGTTTATTGTCAACTATTTTACTTTTGCATGGACAAGAAGCAAGTTTTTCATCAGTGAGGTCATTATGTTCTTCTACCTTTGGTTTTGGAGTAATTTTATGTGTATCAGGAGGTAATGAAATAGCTGTAATAGAATGAAATTAAAAGATAACTCACGCAAATAATACAATATGTATAACAACAAAACACATGCTTACGCTCGAGACAATAATTTCTTTGTTCAATAAATTCTTCGTTATCCTTTTCCCAGTGACCTGTCACAATGTAATGTGTCAAATTACCATTAGGATGTGCTGGGCGCTGCCAATGAATAACTAACTCTGAACTAGAATTAGAAAACGCAGTTAAACCACGAGGTTCAGTAGGTCCTAAAAACAATAATCATATTGTTAATCAGTGGATTACATTATACTCAAAACAATTAAGTCATAGATATAAATAGTAAATATGGTTGAACTGATAAAAGAAGGTATGTAGTAATCTACAGTTTATGATAAGAAATATTTTCATGCAAAGAGAAAATGGACAGAAGAAGAATCCTTAAATGAATTTATGGAATCGTTAGGCAAAGAAGCTTAAAATATGATGACTTAGTTCCTCTTCATCAATTGATATTCTTTCTCTCTCGTTTATTGAACATGGCTAATGAAGAATACACGATTGAAAGATAAAAACAGGCATTAAAAAATTCATATACATACTACTGCCAAGCAAACAGAATGATCTAAAAAAAAAAAAAGTCAAGACCAAAATATGACAAGAAATAAGGCACCGCCACATTAGCTGAATTGTGAGAATTTTTCTGAAAGATAATATACTGAAGAAGACAACATTAAAGATTTGGTGAAATGAGGCTGAAGATTGTGTCTTTGAAAGAGGATAAAACAACCAACAAATAAGTGATGAAGTGACACTGGATGATATAAGAGGTATCCTCCATTATCTAGAGCCAGATGATAGTGTATAATTGGCTTACAAACTTATTTTACACAAAATAATCTCAAATAAAAAGGGAATGTTTTCAAACAAAAATATTACTAATTTTTTTTAGCATTATGTACAATCACACATTAATTTTTAACAATTTATTACTTGTTCTTATCATAAACTAATTTGCTGATTTAAAATGCATAAACAATACAATTATTAACTTAATATTCTTTTATTCTATTTCGGTGTATAATATTTAGTTTCTAATTTTTTTATTTAAGTCAGCATTATACCGATGTTTTCACTTCAAAACTCTACTATGACCTTTCGGCTCGTCCAGCCATTTTCAAGTATAAAACCAATTTTCTTAATAATTTTAAATAATAACAAATTTCTTAATATTTTTTCAAAACTTTTATGGATAAATAAAATATTTTATTTTAAAAAATGTAAATACTCGGACACGATACCCTAACACTTGCTGAAAAAAATTTTGCACTTAGAAAATCTTTTTAACACCTCATTTCTGACAAATTACAAAGAAAAAACAAATAACTTATTCAATAAATAAGCAAAAGATTATCTATTACTTAAAATAAAACAGTGTTATTGGGGAGCTAAATACATATAATACAAATCATGATATCTTTTTAAATAAATTAAAAGACATACATTTGAACGTATATCATGATGATAATAAACTAATTTTAAGTTACAAAAATAATTATGTTAATTTCCATAAATTAAGATTAGAAATGAAAATTAAAATTCCCAAAAAACCCAAATTAAAAAACCATGAGGCATAACGGAAAAATTGGCAAAATTCCTAAACTCAGCCTTAAACAATTTGAACAATAATAACAGATACAATGTAAAAAATGCAATACAAGTAAAAGAGAAAATTAACAGTATAAATAAGATAGATAAAAATGAAATTTAAGTAAGCTATGAAGCTGAATCTTTATTTGCGAACGTTCCACTGATATAAAATATAATAATGTTTTTATGGAAGGAATTAAATAAATTTGCAAAAATGGCTATTTCTGCTATAATAATAATAATAATTACAAAATGAAAAATGGTCTACGATGGGCGGATGTACAACCTAAAGAATATTTTAGTGTCACATATATTAGAAATTTAACTGATAAGATAGAAAGAAAATATAAACAATATGATGTAAGTGAAATTAAATTTGCAAGCAAACCAATTAATAAAATAGATAAAATTTATTCCAAAACTAAAGATGAAGTACCTCCGATAAATTAACAAATATTATTTATAAAATAAACTGTAAAAATTGTAACAATAAATCATATTTTGGACAGACATCACAATGGTTTGAAAAAAGGCTTAAACAACAATCAATAATCACAAAAACTAAATTAGCTACTGGACTTTCTCAGCATACTATGCAAACTAAACACGAATTTGATTTTAAAAACTCCAAAATCCTTCATAATGAAAGTAACACTAATAAGTGTAGAATAAAGGAAGCAATATATATTATTAAAAACTTGAAAAATTCTGTAAATAATCATGCAGACAGATAATTTGAAATGAATAGCCTATTGCTTAAAATAGGTCCATGTAAAATATTAAAAAAACAGCATTGTATATATATATATATATATATATATATAATCTTCCCCACTCCTATATCAACTAGTCACTCAATACCAATGAAACTGACAACATATGGGTTGACACATAATATAGTAATTTAACATTATATAAATCTTTTAATAAGAATAACTTTTTATAATAATAACGTAATAAAATAGTTAAAAATAGACATGACGAGCGTGATACTGGTTATTATGAGAAGATGCATCTATTTTACATAAGAAATATAATGTAAAGCACATGTGATATGTTTTTATATGAAAACAATTTATATTTTGAAATATGTGAGTTTTTTTAGAATGTATTACTGATTATACAAATAATTATGCATGGAAAATTTAACAAAATATTATTAGAAATGATTGTAAATTGAAAAAAATTGCTTTTAGACTTTAAATGGCTCAACGAGCCAAAATGTCGTAGTAGAATTTTCAAGTGAAAACATCGCTGTAGTGTTAGCTTGAATAAAAAAATTAGAAACTAATAATTATCAACATAACTAATTAGAATAAAAGAAAATTATACATTAAAAAAGAGATAAGTTTTGTTTATTTTTTTCAAATTTACAATTAATTAACTTTCACATTGCAACTTCTCTTTTATAGAATTTAATATCTATTCTTTTTTTTTATTACAGTAAGACATTTATAGTAAATTAAAATAAGTGCTATCTATAATGGCAAGGCATGAAAATAGATGTAAAATATTACATCCATACAAAAGGATAATGGATAATAATACATGAAAATACTCAATAAATTATGCTAGTTAATAGCATGACCATCATGTAGATCTTGGGCTGCATGATGTGGTCTTCCTTACAGATGTATTTTATTTTAGAGAGCACAGATAGCCTGGAGGGGATTACCCAACCTATTTTGGGACAGTGATGGTATCCAAGATGTGCCAGTAGTCCATGCATAGGCTTACCTTGGGGAACAAGGGAAAGAGGTGATTGGGGCAAGATCATGCTCAACCACAAGGTTTGTTCCCTTAATTAATTATTAAATTAATAGTACCCATTTTAAAGAGACTGAGTGTGCCCCAAGAGGATCTCCCAATCCCTTGGTCCACAAATGACTGATGAAAAATTACTAAGCATCAGCTGGACTCGAACCTAGGACCTTGAGCTCTGGAAGTTAGTGCTCACCCAATGAGCTATCCCACACACCATATATTACTACTATATATTTATACTTAAACTATACATATGTATATATATCCATGCTGCCCGGGACACTCCTTCCCCCTAGGTATGTGATGCCGTCAGTCTACTATAGGCAACTCACACCGACCGGGCAGGTCGGGGTAGGACTGATGACCCTACCCCGTGTACTCAAATCGGGAATCGGGATGTGGTTTACGATGATGTTAGTAGTCCCCCTGAGGTTTGGTCCATAAACGGTCTGTTTCGGAGAAAAAAATATAGCTCCTCATACGCCTGCTGACTCTGAGCAGCCATAATCCATGGATCTAGACCGATTTGTCACTGTCCTTGAATCCTTGTGAGTTGGTGGGAAGGACACTGTGCCAGATTAGCCCCAAAGGGATAGGCTATGGAGCTATGGGTGGCCTGCTGCTGCACCATAGAGACCATGGTTCATTCAGGCTCTCTGGGCTCCCACAAGCAATGTACGTCTATAAGGAGACCGCATCTTGAGGCCAAAAATCTTAATGGTCTGTAGCCCCAAACGAAAAAAAAATATATATATATATATATACTGACAAAAATTAAACAAGCTCTCTTTGGGAAATAAATAAAAATATCAAAACAGCTTTTTGGAAACTAAAACAAAATAGAAATATCATTTGTACTTCAGAAATTACACATTTAAAAAGCCTAAGGGCCCCCTTTTGTGGTATAACCCCCACCTCTCCCTCCCTCCCAGCTAGTAAAATTTCCAGACTTTCAGTATTTTTTCTTATGAAATTATCTGACTTTTCCATGTTTTTATAAATTTTCTGACCTTTCCAGGTATTTCAGGTCTAATAGCCGCCAAGTTAATTACATGTTTTTTGTGAAATAAATTGTTATTACTGGTTCCTTAACCATTTGTCATAAATAAATTATTCACAATTTATGGTTATCTGTAGCAATCATACACTCAATTTCCAGAAAAATCAAGAGCTTACTGTATTGATTTCTTAAATTTTTTAAATTTTAACATGCTCTGTTGATTTTTATTTTATTACCCAATATATTAATTTTACAACTAATAAAGAATATATTTTGAGATGATAAAAATGTAAGTCAGACATGTATGTTAGGACATGGTGTTTACATAATATAAATAAAGTAAATACATGACAAACTTACTATCAGGTTCTGTTCGAAAATACTGAATACGACTTTGAGCACCACTTTTTTCGGTGGCAACAGTATATGTTTTCACATAAAAAGCATATTGGGTATATGGTTTCAGGCGTGTCAGAATATGATTTATTTCCTGCTTTTTTCCATCTATTGCTGCAGGGTTTTCTGATGCAGATACATCATCAACTTGCCACCTGACAAATGAATAAAATTAATTTTTAATAACTATAAATTATATTATTAAACATATCAATAAAAAATTGACTAAATGCATGAAGACATTTATAAAGTTTCTTCAAATGAAAAAATGTAAACATATATATTATGGCTCTAAATCAAGTACTAACTGGATAGAATTCAAAATTTAACTCTATTGTTAACTTAAAGAAGAAACATTAAATTATCTACTTAAAGTAATTTGTTTCTATGAAAAATTTAAAGTTAAATGAGAGAAAAGTTGCATATAAAGGTATATTACCTTCTTTAAAATGCTATTTTTGATTTCCATGATGATTATTTTTAAACTATTTTGTTCCGGAAAAAAAAAAGAAGAATGATTTATGATGACACTGAAATGAATGATCTATAGACCTATAATTACAATTTAAGGAGTAGAACTCTCCCTCCCTCCCGACTAACTAACTTAACGAATGATTTATTTTTAATGTCATTACAGAATAATGGCATTTTTTTAATATATATAATATTACATTTTAGGAATAGGATTTTTACAGGAAGCTTTAGAGCTTCCTGACGAGGACCACGAGGATATTGACAAGTTATGGGTAGAGATCAGGGATAATATTAAATCGGTCGGTAACTCGTGTCTAGGAAAAAAGGAAAATAAGAATAACAAACCGTGGTTTGATGAAGATTGCTTAAACATGTGCAAAACACGAAAAGCAGCTAAATTAAAAGCTCTAAATAATCCTAGCGAAGACAATCTGGAATACTTCCGAACCTCAAAGAACGAAACGACAAAATTGCTCAAAAATAAAAAAAGGGAGTATCTTAAAAATAAAATAATTGAAATAGAAACTAATAGAATCGAAAATAACGTAAGAGACATGTACAAAGGTATAAACAGATCACGTAAATGTGTAGAGTCCGTAACATCTGGAATTAGGGATGATAATAACAATATTCTGACCGATCCGGTTGACATATTGAATAAATTTAAGGACCACTTTGACAATATTTTAAATACGGGAAATTATGATCTGTGTCCTCCTTATGAGTACCAGAGTGCTGAACCGTTAATAAAAGGACCAAGTAAAGAGGAAGTTGAAGTAGCTATCGGAAAATTAAAATCTTATAAAGCAGCGGGAACCGATAATATTCCTACTGAACTAATTAAGGCATGCGGGGAAGCTGGAGTTTCTAAAATACATCGGTTGGTTAAAAAGATCTGGGTGAACGAGAAATTACCTGAAGAATGGAAAGAATCTATTCTTATTCCGATTCACAAAAAGGGTCCCAGGGCGGATTGTAATAACTATCGAGGAATTTCACTCCTTCCGGTATGTTATAAAATATTCACTTCAATCTTAACCAGTCTAATCACGGAATACGCTGAGGAAATTATCGGAGACTACCAATGCGGATTTAGACGGAATTGTTCGACTATTGATCAAATATTTTCTTTACAGCAAATATTAGAGAAAAAATTGGAGTACAATGGTATTGTTCACCAGCTGTATATAGATTTTAAAAAGGCTTACGATTCTATTGACAGCCAGAAACTGTATAATATTCTAATCGAGCAGGGGATTCCTAAAAAATTAGTAAATCTAGTCAGGATGTGCTTGACGGAGACACTCAATAAAGTTAGAATCGGTAATAATCTGTCCGAAAAATTTGAGGTTCGTTCGGGTTTAAAACAGGGGGATTCCCTTTCGCCTGTCCTGTTCAATTTGGCATTGGAACATGCCATTAGAGAGGTAATGCGTACCGAGAAAGGGTTGGATCTGGGTGGGACAACATCCGTGCTGGGCTATGCTGATGATCTGGTACTGTTAAGCGAAGACGTTGAAACTATAAAACTAAATACGACAACGTTAATGAAAGCCGGTAAAAAACTAGGACTCGAAATAAACGTGGATAAAACAAAATATATGGTTAGCTGCAAAAATGGCGATACTACTGGTGATATCGATATAGATGGTAATATGTTTGAACAGGTAGATAAGTTTAGGTATCTAGGTTCTACGATAACTAGAAAAAACGAAATTGAAGAAGAAATTAAGGTTAGACTGAAGGCGGGAAATGCTTGTTATTTTTCTGTGACAAAACTACTTAGTTCGCGCCTCTTGTCCCGAAACTTAAAAATTAGAATCTATAAAACAATTATCTTGCCTACAGTTCTTTATGGGTGCGAAACTTGGCCGCTTACATTAAGGGATGAGCAGCGTCTTAAGGTTTTTGAAAATAAAGTATTGCGTAGAATATTCGGACCGAAGAAGGATGAGTTAACCGGAGAGTTCAGACGGTTACACAATGACGAATTGCGTGAACTGTATCCGAGTAATATAATTGAGATAATTTCATCGCGGCGAATCAAATGGGCTTGTAAAGTTGTTGGACTTAGTAACAAGAGAATTCCTAAAAGGTTAATATTTGCTGTGCCGAATGGTAAGCGTCCGAGGGGTAGACCGAAGCGAAGGTGGGAAGATTGCATTAAAGCCGATCTGAAGGGACTGGGTATGGACGGCGAACGGTGGAGGGAGGTGTGTAATAAGCAATTGATGGTGTCGGCATTGAACCTTCGGGTTCGCTAAGCTTTATTATTATTATTATTATTATTATTATATAATATTACATTATATAAATTACAATTATATAAAATAAAATTACAGAATAGAGTTTTACATTGAAAATTATGAGATACAACGAAATAAGTGAAGCAATGAATATACAGTAATTAAATTTTCAATTTGTCAGATTACAAAATAAAAATTAAATTTAGAAATTATTGGTAATTATTCAACTACTAACCCATCTCCACCACATGCATCCCTTCCATCATACATTGTAATATTTTGGTACGGTGCTTCAATTGAATAAACAACATAACCAAGCAATGTACGAGAATCATAATGTTCAAACTGATTCCATCGAATAAGAGCTGCTATTGAATTCTTCTTATAAACAGTGACTTTTAACTCCTTTATGTTACCTAAAAAAGTAAAACTTGATGATAAATATATACACTCATACAAGACAATATACATTAACTGTTTCTTTATATTCATCTAGGTGGATGTTAAAGTATGTCAAATAAATAGGACAGTAAAATTAGAACATTGTTTAGTTTAAACAATTAATTTTTACCATAATCCACAAAACATTTATAATAACAGAGAACTATTCGAGGCAGAATTTAATTCTTGAAATAATTAAGTTTTTGCTTGGAAGCACTGTTTTGGTGTTATAAATCAATAACTAACAGAATCCCAACATTTTATTTTATGCTCCCATTGAATGGCGGTGCAAACTTGGAAAACTTTTATTTGATGGCAGATAAAGCTATTAAAAAGATCTACCTTTCAGCATTTATTTCCATCAAAAATCCTTATTTTATTAGTCTAAAAAGGAAGTAAGAAAACTTAAAAAAATTACTGTTTAGTATAAAGCTGAGTAAAGTTTCAATAACATATCAATTAACCTTAATACTGAATAAATCCAGAAATTTTTAAATAAATAAGTAAGAGCATTATCTTAAATTGATAGCATTTTCAAAAGCTAAGCCTCCAAAAACATTTAAATAAATGTTAATATCAAAGAAATCCTTTAAATATGGGAGAAAGTGGGGAACCTATAATAATTAACAGTATGTAATTTAATGAAACATGAATCTTGGTTCTATAAATATTTGTGTTTTAAATTATGGATCTGGTAAATTAGATTTCAAACAATTATAATTTAACAAAACTGAAATAAAAATAAAATATTGGGCATAAAAAACTTTTCAAAAAAAGATAGCACTGAAACTTTTTTAAATAAATATTTTAAAGAATATAATTAGAAAAATATCAATTATTGAATAATACAATTATTGATAATCACCAACAATTGATAAACACAACTGCAATATGTTTAACATGTAATGTGCATATATTACTTTATGTGAACTTTTTGGGACCAATAACGATTTTAAATAACAGTGAATATGCAATTATGGTATTGGACATAATATTATTCCTGGCTTGGTAATCGATTAATAAAATAACAAAATTATTTTATCAACAATTACATGGAATGCTGTGATAATTTTAACAAGTTAACTGCCAATCTATGAGATTGTTCATAGGAAAAGGAGTTGGTCGGGAGGTGTGGCGAAATAAATACTAAATTTTTAAAATAGTATTTTATTTTAAAAATTTAGAATTCATTTGACTTCACCCCACGACCAACTCCTTCTCATATTATATCACGGTCAACCATCTCTACATCATCAAGATTAATCATAGCTTATTCAAGATGAAATATTGAAGTACATTTTGATAATTACTATGTATTAAAGTTGGATTATTTAAAATAAAATAATATACATTGATTATGTATTAAAATTTGAATCTTTTAATAAAGTAATATAATCAAATTAAACTGACAGTTTAGACATAAATCTTGAAAGTAATATGGCAGTTAACGTGTTAATAAAACAAGTAAAATACAATTTCTGCTCATTCATTTGAAATATAAAAAAAAAAAAAAAAAAGGATAAACCATCTTTTTTTTCCAACCTCATGTTTCCAACTGTGTAAAAGTTTACCTTAACTTCTTTTTCATTTCATTACAAATTTTTTTAAAAGTTATACATACAAATTAGTATGTTTTAATTAGTTCTCGTTGACCATTATACATAATATAAAAATGCATCTCTAAAATTCATACTTACAAGCAACTTTGTCACCATTTGAACTACTGGCTACTTCATGTTCAGTATAATCTCCCAATCCAGCTACCCTTTTGAGTTTATCAATTTCTGACAGACACAATTTGGGATTAAAATGAAAAAATAGCCTCCCTTGATCAATACGAAATTCATTTTTACGAGTTTTCCAATCCCATAATTCTACCAAATTTTGATTGTCTAATATAATCAAAGCAGACCTGGAAATAAAAGAGGAGAATAAAATACATTGATATTATTTCTATTAGATATAAATTACCTGTAAAAGACATTGATCGTATAAAGGTGGTATCACATTACATTGCTTGACTGTTAAGTTCTTGAGTCCTTCCTAGATCCAGGCAATTTAATGCTTTTAATATAATCTTTGAGTACACAGCCGACATGAATTCTATGCCATTTTCTATGGCAACAAACTTGTCCATAAGTGAATCATACAGGGGTGAACTATAGGTGTCCTATTCTTGAGGTTTTATAGCTTAAGCTTCTGTCAATATGGTAGAATACTTATATTATGTGACAGCACATTTCAGATAATACAATGCATATGTTTTTTCAGTTCTCTATGAACAATTATGTGTGATTGCCTTATTGTTAGAAAAACAAAGCTCATTTCTCTTAAACTGTTTACCAATTCAATAATTGTTGTTATTTAGCAGTTCATCCTTTGCTAAAAAAATTTGACAGAAAAGGAGAACTCAGATAAATTTTTCACGATTAACTGGTTGATGAACGGAAGTTTTCTAATTAATTTTGGGATGACTTTACATAACTATCATGTTTTGTTAGCAAATATAGAAAATTCAATAAGAATATAAAGTACTAAATAACCTAGGCTGTATATACTTCACCAGAGCAGGGGCTAGCTGAAGTGCACAGCTAGTGGGGATTTATGATCCTCCGGTTTCCCGAGTTCAGTACACTGCACAAATATACACAGAACAATACACAATTCACTTACACTGACAAAAAGTCACCTACCCTTATACAACACAGGGTCACCTTCTTAAGGTGGCTGCCGGGTGGGGAAGTACGTCAGGATACTCAAAAGAGGCAGCTGATTACCTGCTTTCCTTAAAAGATAATAATCATAAACTTCAACATACAGAAGAAGCCGTTTCAAAGGAAACGACTTAGGGACCGCCATACTAACCTAAAAATTAGCCTATTGGAATATTGTATCTTTGTACAGACTAGGAGCACTAAGAGTACTCGTTACAGAACTTTTTTTCTTCTTTTTTTGGGGGGGGAACTTGCCCTTCCTTGCCTTTAAGGCTATATGGGGTTTTCTTGGGCCAGGAAGTAAGGGTGGGGATTTAAAAGAACTCCCCCGGCACCAGGAAGTGAAACCGTAACTATTTTTTATTACTTTATCTAATATATCAGATTGCCTCATTATAGAACTTGACAAATATAAAATAGACATAGTAGCAATCCAGGAGGGACCTCTTAGTTAAGCTTGGGTCCCTTAACTGGCTTAGTTAAGTCACCCTCGAAAAGAAATTTCGTATTTATATTATAGCTGCCATAGTATTGGAGTTGGCTTTGCTGAGAGGAAAAGCGATCGGCAAACCATAGGATTTCCATCCAGTTACACCCCAATTGTGCAAGCTTAGAATGAAAGGTAAGTCCCGTAATTTCACCATTATTAATTGCCAAGGTCCAACAGAAGTGGTTGATGAACAAGAAAATGACCTCTTCTATGAAGATCCTGTAAGAGTCATGGGTACTTGCCCTGTTTATGACATCAAAATTGTTGTTAGAGACTTTAATGGAAAGGTTGGCAGAGAATCTGCATACATGGTAGGCCATTGGATCCTGTAGTATACACATAAAGAGCAACAACAATGGTCAGAGACTTATATGCTTTGCTACAAATCATGGATTGATCGTAGTCACTACACTCTTTACTGGAAAGAAGTCCACAAGGCAATCTGGAGATCACCCAATGACCTTGTGGTCAATTAAATAGACCACACCACCTTTTAATCAGCTCTTGACATAAATCCAACTTAATGAATATCAGGTCTTATCAAGGAGCAAACACGGATCATTACCTAAGGATAACCAAAATTAGAGCAAGGATATCCATTACCTGATCCTTGAAATTAAACTCAATTAGAAATTAAAACATAGACAAGCTGAAGGAGACAGAAGTCTATACTGCATATCAGAACTGCCTCAAAGATGAGTTCATTAACAGGATGAAGTCACCTGCAGACAAAATTGAAGATCAATGGGAAAAATGTTGTGAAACACTTAACGCAGCAGCTGAGAGGACTTCAGGTTTAAATAAGAGGCTCTCTCGATCACCTTGGATTGTCAAATAATGCCTCTAGATAACTGCAAGAAAGAACAAAGCCTATATGAAAATGTTGCAGCGCCATACAAGACAATCAGCTGAGATTTATGGTGAGAGGAGTGAGGAAGAGAAGCGTATCCACAGGAAAAAGAAGAGAGCTTGGGAAGATCAAAGGTTTAGATAAATTGAAAACTTTCAAAAGCCTAACGAGTCCAGATTATTTTTTCAAAGGGTTAATGATAGAAGAGCAGCATTCAAACCGAAAGCCATCTCTTGTGGGGATGAGAATGGAATACTCTTCGTTCAGAAGAATCAAGTACTGCGAAAATGGGTGAGACATTTCAGACACTTCCTCGCCAAAGAACAATATAACGAGACTTGTAATTCTATCACATCTGACAGAAGTGATGACAGTGAGCTACCAGACCAAGATGAGGTTGAAGATGACATTCGCAAGATCAAAAATAACAAGGATCCTGACAAAGATGGCCTTCAGGTATAATTATTAAGATATGGGGGTGAGGAGCTAGAAAAATTGTCATAGAAGCTCATACTTGATCTTTGCATCAAAAATTTTTTTTCGTATTCCATGGTCCTAATCCTGTGGCATCCTTTTTTCATTGGACTAGCACCTTACGTTTGTTGCTATTTTTCTTCAACTTATTATTTCTTTCACTTTATTATTTTTTTTCACTTATTATAATTATTATTACTATGGTTATTCCATCTTTAACCTTTAAACTTTCCATTTTTGTGCATTTATATTTTGTCAATATTTTTTAAATCTAAAATAGTTTCAACTAGAAGGTATCTCTATTTTATTATTGATGAAGTAGTTTACAATATTCAAAGTCATTTATGATCACAACCCCAGACCACAACTTACTTAAAAAAGAAGTAAAAATAGTAGTTAATGTATTAATATCACCTTTTTTCTGATTCTATCAATGATACGTCACCAAAACAAAACTAGTATAGTACACATCTTCTACAAGTATGACATTAGTGTTCTTGAAACAACCTAGACATATATCTGTCCAGGAGTAATCAAATATCGAAATATTCCAAAAATCGACCATTATCCTTTAACAGTTCCATAGATTCCACGAATCCTTGCCTTTAAAAACATGCTAATTACTTGTCTCATCGCGACTTTTTCCAAATCCTAAAACATAAAGAACCTTCCTATGTCCCCTAACTTCTTACCGTGCACTCCTTCATCCACTCCTTGAACACCAGAACCCAACCAATCGATATTTCTACTCCATTGTATGAAACTGTTCCCTTTGACAAATTCTTTCTCCTTTATTCCTCCTCCTTTCAGAATTCCTAGTACACCTCTATCTACAAAGCCTCTTCCCTATCTTGCTGCAAACATCGACTATTTCTCTACCTCATCTTATACCAATCCTTCAATCAAATGTAAAGTTAAACTTACTATTAATAATGAAACTAAGTGACAGCTAGAACAAAAGCACTCATTTACGTTCATTGTTCATTTTCTTAGGTGACTTGTTACCAGAAAAATATATAATATTTTTCAAGGTCAATTTCATTAAAAATTAAACAGATAGTTTCATAAAATGGTAGGATTTAGTGTTGAATAAAACTGAAGAACTATTGAAGAACAGGTACTACTTGACTAAGGATTATGGTATGTCAATGTTTTAAAGTTACACTAAGACATTATTTCAAACCAATAAAAATTATATCTAATGAAATTTATAACTCAAATATATTTATTTTATTTAAAAAAATAAATACCATGTATTTGAATTAACGTACCTAGAGCTTTCAAGTTTATATCCATGTATTACTCGGAGATTTCTTAAAAAGTTCAATGAAACAATGGGAAAAGATCGAACAATTTTTAAATAATCATCAATTTCTTCGATGGTATTCAAATTTTCTTCAAGTTCTTTAACAACATTAACTATAAAAAAAAAATTAACATTATTATGTGCATAAATACTCAATTACCTTTTTAAAAAAAATAAAAAGAAACTAACATAATCAGAAAATGCAAATGAACACAAGTGAATTGGTGTGGTTTACACTAACAAAAGCAAACATCCCCACGAACAAGTTACAGACTTTCTTACTTAAATTTAAAATATTTCTAAGGTAATTAATATTCACGCAAATATATGTTTCACTTCTCTTAACTACACACAGCCCTTACATAAGTTTTTTTTCATATGGTTTATAAGTGGCACTACTTCCTACTAGATAAAATAAATGAATTTAAACAGTGTAAATATGATTTTCAGTTAATTACCTAAAGATGGACAAGATAGTACAGTAACTTTTTTTTTTAATCCAATAGAAGCAAGGCACTACATAGAGATTCTAAAACAAATTAAACAAAGCCTTCATCTTCATGGACAAAGAAAGATCAGTGGAAAATGGATTACTGCTGAAAGACTATTCTCCAAGACAGGCTTTGTAGTGGCCAATCAAGATCAGGTTATTGCTACTAAATCACACACAAGATATGTCCTAAAAGACAAATCTGATAAATGTTGACTGTGTTCAATGACACTTGAATCACAGCTCAATGTGAAGTGCTGAATAATATTGAGTATTTACAAAGGAATAATGACATGAAAATTTCTTATCATGCTCTGCGAAGAGGTTTACCCTATTGGATGAGAGGGCTTATATAAGTAATAATAATAATAATAAAACCCGCAGGAGGTAGCTAATGGATGCAGATGCTGGGGTCTTGTAAACCCATGGGTTCCTGAGCACACTACATCTCCCAAAAACTCACACTCATGACACATCATAACATAAACACTGACACCAAGGTCACACACCATTACATACACTGGGGTGAACTTACCTAGGAAGACCTGGCAGCAGGTAAAAAATGCACTAATATGGAGCAACCCAACAGAAGAATTGCCTCAGACAAATGCAGAGTAAGGGCTGCTCTTGAGGGAATGGTTTACCATCCCTCGACATCGGCAGGCAGTGCAAGCGGTGCCCTGATACCATATGGACCCGTAAGACCGGCAACCTCAGGATTAACATCATCTGATTCGAGCTTGGAGACCGATCGGCCTCCCGCACGATAGGCCTCAACATATGAGATGGACACACAATATGAATAATGCAGCCATCCATACTAATTATTTGGCTTCGAATATGGAAATGGAAAAGACAGGATACAGAAGTAAACTAGTAGTGTACTGGAAAGAAAAATTTCCCCTAGTCACAGTTTCTGCACAACAAATAGCCGACCAGGTTAGAAAAATTTTTGCACAAAAGTTCCAATACGATTCAGAGCTAAATGACATCAAGGAAGAGATCATAGGAAGCCTAAAATGGGGCATTACACATGTAAATGCCACATCAGAGAAGACTAACAAATAAAATCGAAGCACTATGGCGTAATAATGGCATAATTACAAATTATTGAAACAACCCAAATAAATGTTCTTTAAAATTAAAAACCAAAATAATTGTTTTAGGTATTGGTATTTAAATAATAACCCTGCAGGGGCTAGTCTAAGTACCAGACTAGTGGGGTATAACACTCCCCCGGGCTTCTGAGTTCAGTACACGATACTTTCTCACCCAGAACAGTACACTATACACTCATTCATTATATAAGGTCATTTCCACCACCAGTATTCTTACTGGGCCAATCACCCATAAGAATGTATAAACAATTCAAAGAAACATAGCAAATAGCCTCGGATTTGGACAGACTAGAAGGAAACGACTCAGCATGGAAAGGACATACTGTTAGGAACTTGGAATATTAGATCTCTTACAGGCAAAGAAGCAGAAATCATCAAAGAGATGAAGGCGTACAGGTTGGATATTCGAGGAATCAGTGAGGTGCGAAGGAAGAGAGCTGGAGTTATGGCTATGGATGGTGGTCATAGGTTGATATAATCGGGAGTTCCTCTAGGAAATAGGGCTGCAGAGGGAGTTGGCATTATAATGAAGGACGACCTGTTCAGAAGAGTGGAGGAATGGGAGCCAATGAACTCACACATCCTAGCAGAGAACGAGACGTGACTGCATTCGCAACAACAGAATCAGGGAGAAATTGGGGTTTACCCTGATGAAGGATGTCCTAAAGATTCGGCAGCTTAATGGTTTGGACATGTCGTCAGGATGGAAGAACACAGGGATCCATTAAAGTCTATGGACTATGTCCCCGATGGTAGAAGACACCGTGGCAGACCGAGAATGTCGTAGCTCGAATACATAGACCATCTGTGCAAAAACAGAAATATGAATATACGTCAAGCCAGAAATCTTGCAAGAATCAGAGAGCATTGGCAATCCTGGTCAGATGCTCCTCTACGCTGAAAGGCACTACAGGGTGATGCAAAAGAAGAAGAAGTGTTTAAATAATGTCTACAAAATCCTAACATTAATTATTGCTAAGAAAATCAACGATCACATTACCGAAAACCGGATGATGGCAGATGAACAACTGGGCTGCAAAACTTATTTGAAAGGATGCACAGAGATCCTGATTTCCAACTCTTTCGTTGGTGCACAAGTTTCTAAGAGAAAAAGGAAACTCAATGTTGCTTGGATTGACTTCCAAAAAGCATATGACTGGCTGATCGAAGTTCTTAAAATCTATAAGATCAACCAAAAAGTGCTCGATTTGATAAAGAGGCTGAAGGAAAAATGGAAAATGAGTATTTCTGTAGCAGGACATAGACCAGGTGGATTACCATTAGCGATCAAGAGAGGAATATTCCAAGAGCGATCAAGAGAGGAATATTCCAAGGAGATTCATTGAACCAAATATGGTTTTGCCTAGTACTGAACCCTTTGAGTCAACTATTAGCTGACTCGGAAAAAGGATATTATCTAAAAGACGGAGTGCAAGTTGCTAAGGCAATCTACATGGATGATATTAAGTTATATGCACAATAAACTGGATATTTTGGTGTTACTTAAAAAGGAAAAAACGGCTGCAATAAACGAGGCAGGAGTTCCCAGCAATGAAAATATTCAAAAAGTGGTAGGAGAGAAGATAAGAAAATATCAAAGCCTCTGTGAGGAACTGAAACAACTATATAGCCTAAAACCAGGTAAGGTCTAGCCTTTCATCATTTCTAGCAACAGATTGGTTCCAGAAGAAATGATAAAGAGTTGCAAAGTGTTTAGACTCTCTAATTATATCTTGGAAGAAGTTCAGAAAGCTGTGTCTGGGATAGCCAGCATAGCCTGAAAATTTTTAAATATTTCCTAAATAGAGCCTGATCCTTGACTCAGAGTCCGGATAGGTGAATATTCCCAGCAATGTCTGAGGAAGTGTGAAATTCTGAAATAATAATCCCGTAAGTAGAGGGAAATATTTAAAAGATTGATAGTAGACATCAAGATCTACAAAAATGTTTATATAAACCATTTCCCAATTGCCAGCAGGAAAGTAAGAAATTCAAGATTGTGCTTTTTTAAGCAAGTCATGTGTTTTGTTGAAAAGGAAGCGACAACTTGAAAAATTTGGTGCGTGCATCACACTACTTTCACTTATCACCCTTTTAGCAGAAATAAGTATTTTCAGACAAAGGGGAAGTGAAAGTAAAAATTATAGACACTATATTTATTTACATTTCATTGTGGGTATTTCTTTGATTATCCTTATACATACAAATTTTAATTTTTATATCATAGTAATCTATATAATTAAATATTAAATAATATCGACAATAGCATTTATGAAAACCGCATATGTATATGTACATAATATTGTCGGAGTCCATATGATATTAAGCTAATGTTACGTATGGAAGCCTGTCATAATCTTTTGGGCGAGTTCGGGTACACTCTTATTCCTTTGGTTCCTCCATTTCAACCATTATATGTTACGATCTTTTATTTCTCCTTTAGTTAATTATCAAATTCTTTCATATTTTATATTTAACTATTTTTTATACCAAAGATTACTGTGAAATGGTTAATTATTTCAAATAAAAGAAATTAAAGGCACTTTAGAGAAAGCTAATATTGAAAATCAGCCATTTAAGAAGTGTGATTAGAGTGCTACCAATGGGTAGTTTCTCAACAAGCGTGTTTCATGTTATTTTATTCCTCTGTACACATTTACTTGATGTATTCATACTAATACAGTTGTAAATATCATAATATTGTTTTAAAAATATAATAAATGTTCATAATAAAAGTTTTAAAAAAAAGAAGTGTTAGAAAACGTCAATGAGAATAAAACCTACATTATTTTAAATACTGCTTAACAATACACTGATATTCTGTGTTTAATCAAAATCGTTAGAGCCGTTTTTGAGAAAATCGTTAGAGCCGTTTTTGAGACAATCGTAAAAATGTGCTAAATCGATTATATAAGATGTCATTTCCCGTAAGTTGATCTTGATGAAGAAGTATATAACCTCCAAGGTATATACAAACCTTATGAAATTTCACTTTCATACAACTTTTCGTTTTTGAGTTAGACTGATCACACACACACGCACACACACAGATCATTTTGCGGGACTTGGTTATTTGGACACAGGAGACGTCAAAACATTTCCGTTGAAAACTCAGATTCAAAAATTTTCTTAAAATGAAAGTAGATATTATCATTCTTAAAACTATTCAAAGAGAACTTTTGAGTGCCTAAACACAGCTAAGTTCCATTAAATAAAAAGTCATTAATTATTTGTGAATTTTTTTTTATCACCCTTTATTATTATTATTATTATTATTATGGTGCTACAGTCCTGCTAGAACCAGGCCTCCTCTACTATAGCCGACTTATCTCCACAGTCTTGTGCTACTTTCCTCCACCTTCGAACGACCAGCCCCCTCAATCGTCTTCAACATCCTCCAGCCATCTGATCCAAGGCTTTTTTTTTAACGAAACTTAGCTGTGTTTGTCCATCTAATTGTCCTCTTTACATATTGTTAACAATGACAAACTCTAATGTCGTTTAA